TCAAGTAACTAAATTAATAATCTTTTTTGTATTATCACTTTTATTTACTTCTATCATATTTCAGATCCAAAAAGCACTTGGATGTAAAGGGAATCCACTTGCTTTTGACATTACAGCTGCTTGTAGTGGATTTGTATTAGGCCTAGTTTCAGCTTCTTGCTACATTCGAGGTATAAAGATTGTTTTTTTTTTTGGGTCTAATCGATTTCTATTCTCATAATAGCAATGTACTTACAAATCTTTACACATAAATATCAACATACTTGGGGTAAACAATAAAGTACATTGCCCATATTGGTAGTGAGAGTAAAGTATTGCAATTTTCAATTTTTGGTGTTGTTTCTTGATTTTTATTTTATGATTTACAGGTGGTGGTTTCAAGAATGTACTTGTGATTGGAGCAGATTCACTCTCACGTTATGTTGATTGGACAGATAGAGGGACATGCATCCTCTTTGGTGATGGAGCTGGTGCTGTTCTTGTCCAGGTGTGTCTCATTTTCTTTTAACTTTTTAAAAAAAAATGTTGTATGTCTTAAAGGGTATTCTTGGAATTTCAACAGGCATGTGATAGCGAAGAGGACGGTTTATTTGGTTTTGACTTTCACAGTGATGGAGATGGCAACAGGTTTCTTTAAAGAAAGATTCTAAATTTGTGAAAAAAATTTTAACTTTTTGGTTTCTTTGAAGAAAGATTGTCATTTTGTGTAAAAAATTTAAACTTTTTTTCGTTTCTTTAAAGAAAGATTGTAAATTTATTCAAAAAATCAAAACTTTTCCATAACCCGTTTCCCAAACAGGCACCTGAATGCTGGAATCAAAGAAAGTACAACAAATGATGCATTGGGTACAAACGGATCAGCTCTAGGGTTCCCTCCTAATCATTCATCTTTTTCATGTATAAAAATGAATGGAACAGAAGTGTTTCGGTTTGCTGTTAGTGTTGTCCCACAGACAATCGAGGCCTCACTAGCAAAAGCTGGTCTTAATCGGTCGGATATTGACTGGCTACTGCTCCATCAGGTGGGTGTGGGTCCCATTACTTCATGAAAAAGGGTATTTATGTAATTTGACAGACATGAAGAATTGAAGGGTATTTGTGTAATTTTGACAGGCGAACCAGAGGATCATTGATGGGGTAGCAACAAGATTGGAGGTGCCAAAAGATAGGGTGATATCGAATCTTGCAAAGTATGGGAATACAAGTGCAGCTTCAATCCCTTTGGCGTTAGATGAAGCGGTTAGAAGTGGGAAAGTCAAACAAGGTCAAACTATTGCCACTGCTGGATTTGGTGCTGGCCTTACATGGGGTTCTGCTATACTCAGATGGGGGTAGAATTGTCTTTTTATAATTATTGGTTTGTGTACTTTGAGTGGGAAGAAAGGAAGAATGAAGAAAGATGTTGTGAAGTTTGTATGAAAAAAAAATTCCAAAATCTTGATCATTTTTTGTGAGGGTGAAGAGGTTTTTTTTAATGTTTCATTATCATGTTCTTAGTTGTGAAGTAGCAAAACATTAATAAGATTTTCATTCTTTTTCTTCATTGTGCATTTTTTCTTCATGAGATTGTTCTTATATCTTTACCAATTGTTAAAGGAGTATTATTTTAGCATAATAGAGTAATAAGATATAATGATAAATTGGTTAAATGCAAGAAATAATAGCTATCATATTTGTTTATTATTGAATCTTATTTCTATTTTTATCACATTGCAACATTTAATTTTCAATAATCTATACAATTATAACAATGCCAAATTGCCAATTACAACATTTCATTTTGAATAATCTATAGAAGATAATAGAAGTAAAGATGTTACAATGTATATAAATAAATAAAAGTACCATGAAATCTTTCTACAAATCTAGTGAATCAATGGTACAATAATAATAATTTTGAAATTGATAAATTACCAAAAAATGGGTCATTTATCAGCAACATCATCGAGTCTGGCTTTAATCCTTTGAAGTGTACCTTCAATGGCGATATCAAATGCATCTTTTTTCGTCCTCAAACCCAATGAACTCCCATGTTTTCTGTACATAATTCTGGGAATCATCTCAATCAATTTATCCCTCATCTTCCTCGTTACACTTCTCGGAATCCCCTTCAAAATCTCCAACACCTTCACCCCTTTAAACACGACTTCCTCTTTCGGAATCATCACAGAGAATTCATGGTATTCGTCTTCAGGTAAATGCCATCCGTATTGCTTTCTGGCTGATAGTTCCTCGAAGAACACTGGTATGCAGCCTGCGAGAATGCTATCAAATGTCGATCGTCGTGTTGGGGTGTCTCCCGGAGGTTGCAGGCAGAAACTAGAATGTAACATTGGTTTCATGAATTTGATTGGATCATGCTCGCAGATCCCGTTTGAACAATCCACAAATTCGCAGAATTTGGAATATTGGTTGTTGGTTTTCTGAGTTGTGTTTTCGATTTTGGAACTGTTGTCGCATTCTAATCTGATGCTTCGTCGTACATTGGGTGTGGAGGAGATTCCGCCGCCACCGGCGAATAACATTAGGGTTGTTCTTCTTGATCTACGAACCCTTTTGGCCCATGAATCGAAGAGTGCTAGATTTGGTGGGTGGAATGATGTGAGATAAGGGATTGATTGTTCTTGCCAAGGGTAAGCTCTTGATTCCAAAGTTAATGTGGTAATGTTGAAAAACTCTGGCAATTCAAGAAACGAAGTGCCCCATAACGGCGGATCGTTACCTAATGGCTGACTGAAATCCCATGCGCTTCCGGCGAGTACCAGGAAATGGTCGTGGCCTTGGTTGTTGAGCCAGATCTCCGGCGAGTCATGATATCGGAGGAAATTGTAGAGATGGAGGCCGTGTTGGGAGGAGGAGTTGTAATCGGGGCCGTAGAGGTAATGGAGGGAGTCGAGGGCGGCATAGTACGGGAGGTAGATGGCGTCGGCGGCGGAAGGATCGGCGGTGAGACATGGGTATTCGAGCATACGGCGGTGGAAGAAGAGTTCGAGAAGTGAAGGGTCGGTGCGGAACCATGAGTGGGATTGGTTGTGGGTTTTGGTGCCAAGACCATGGTTGGAGATGTAAGGGCAGAAGTCATCGGAGAATGGGTGGTGGGTGGCGGAGCAGTTGGTGAGGATATCTAGATTGAAACGTGATGGGAGGTGACGGATGTGGATCCAGCGATTGCTGCAGTCTGAGTCTAGATCGGATTGTTGTTGAAGAGTGACGGAGGGGAAAAGGGTGAGGAAGAGTAGGAGGAGGATGGTGATGGTGGTGGTGGCGGGTGGTGTCATGGTGGAGAGATGATTGGGGAGAGGATGACACGATAAAATTTAGTCCTTTACTTGGGTATTTTTAGGGAACGCATAAATAATCCCTTGGTTATTCATGAACTTCTATATTTACCCCCTTAACTTTTTTTATTTGATTATTTAATGATTAATGAAGAGTAAATCGATACATATATATATTAGTTGTGGATTTTGCACACCACTAAAATAAGTCATAATATATAATGATGTTCTCATTCATAATTCTACGGTTAAGTTAAGACTCGAAACTAGACAATAATCTCTTTAATTTTATCATAATAAGTTGTTTCTAGTTAAGTTGTGAGTATTTGTGGTTGTGTTGTGTGCAAAGGTCTTATTTTGATAATATTTTTTTTGTATAATTTTGATAATATAGTTTTGTATATGCTAAACTTTAAATGATATTTTTTTTGAATAATTTCAAAATAGTGTTATTCTCCTCGGTCATTTCCCAGTATTTATACTTGAAAGCAATTTAACTTATTAATAGTTAGTATTTTAAAATTTCAATATATATCTTTTATGACGCCGAGAATTATTGGCTGACGAGTTTAGAATGTAAAATCACATGGTTTACTATTTAAATGAAATATATATATATATATATATATATATATATATATATATATATATATATATATATATATATATATATATATATATAAGTTACGGGTCCAGATTGGGTCGAATTTTATAAGTAAAAAAAATCAAATTATTTTTAAAAACATTCTTCATTTTGATTTCTGAAATAAGCAACAATCAAATAATTAATTCACTTGAAATATTGAAGCAACAAAAAACCTAGCATGAACTCATCGAACAATAAAAAAAATAAAAAATAAATTCACTAAGTATTATCAAACATTTAATAGCTTTGTCTTTGATGCTTATGGAATTAATATTAACAAGCAAGAATTAAAAAAAAGAAAAGAAAAGAAAACCAACAATGAATGCAATCAAACCTACAACTAAATTATAAATATTCCGAATTACAATAGTGGCTTTGACGATTTTTTGATACTCATGGAATACTAGAATTGAAAATAGAAATTTCATATAGTTTAATCAATTTTCACAAAGTTAACAAAGTAGAATATATTTATCGGTGGTTGCAAACTGGATCGATAATTATTAAGAATTGAAGATCGAATGTTAACGTGTTGTGAAACGATTGATGTGTGATTCAATTTTTTTTATTTTTTTATTGTAAATTGTATTTGCTATGCATATTGGATTATAGATTAAAAGATATTGACCTATTTAATTCAAAAATGTGATTTTTACATTTTTTCTTATTGCTAAAGGTATTAAGATGGTTCATTTGCAATTTTTTAGATAGGTCACAATTTTTATTTCGTATAATTTGTTATACAAAAAAAAAGGGTCAAGTGACCCACCATAATTACACATAAACTCGAGACTTATTATTGGAATACAAAACTTCATATAGATCTTAGCGAAATCATATGATTGTGGAATTTTAGAATAGTAAATGAATTAAACCATCTTATTTTGAATATTTCAATTCTTATTTTTATCTAAATATTATCATTATCTCATAAATTCACCATGAAGTAAGGTTAAACGGATAATAGAACCAACAAAATCGATTCTATTTCCAATTTATGGAAAAGAGGCTCAAATTAAAATATAGTGGTATAAATAAATAATAAAATTAAAATTATGTAGAGAAATAAGGGGCAATAACACTAACAAAATCTATAAGTAGAATTCTCCCCCAAAATAGAAACGAAAAGAAAATGCAGTGGGAGTTTAATGGAAATCTGTATAAATTCGATTTTCATCTCCTGAAGAACTCGAATCCCACTTCAAGATTCCCAATCTTTTTCCCCCAAAAAGATGATCAGATCTTTATGTAAGTTTCTCAAAATTTCTTTAAGAATGCATTCACATAAACATATTTCAAAATTTCTTTAAGAATTTTATTATGATTAATGATTGATTGTTTGATGAATTAATGATCACTGCATTGGTAGCTCGAAAGAAACCCACCGGTCGCCGGCGATTCAGGGACTACTACGCCATATGGATCGACACCCTGAAGACAATCCACCTCCCAATCCTCCGCCACCACATGTCTTGCGCCACCTCCACCTCCTCCCCAAACCTCCTCTCCGCCCACGTTGAAATCCTCCACCACCACTTCAAATCCTACTACCACAACCTCGACCTCGCCGCCTCCACCGACGTCTCTCAAATCCTCATTCCCGTCGACCACCGTAACGCCATGGAACTCCCTTTCCTCTGGCTTGGCGACCTCCACCCCTACCTCTTCACCAACCTCCTCCGCTCCTACCTCCTCCAACACGACGACAGTTTCTCGCTTCAAGAACCAGAGAACGAAGACGAAGAGTACGATTATCAAGAACAACAAGAACAAGAAATCGAAGAAGAAGACGAAGACGAAATCGAAGTGGGTGAATCTTGCGAGTTCTTGAAGAAACAGTGGCCATTAATGAATGCTTGGAAGATCCAGTCGCGTAAATTAACAACCAGAATCGATCAGATTGAACGTGGGCTGCGGTTGATGGTGCCGGCATTGATGAACAGAGCAAGGAGAGCTCAAGCGGGGTTTGTTCAGAAAGTCGGCTCAGGCGAGGTGTCTCCGGCGGCTGCTGCGGCGGAGATGGAGGAAGAGATGGTAGGGATTGTTATGGATGCGAATAGGCTGAGGAAGGATGTGATATCGGAGATTGTGAGTGTAACAACTGTGTATCAAGCAGCTCTGTTTCTTGAAGGATTAGCCCAATTTCTTGTTGGGATTCGAGATGGGAAATTGTTGCAGGAATTCAAATCTTGTAAATCGACACTCAATTGATTATCAATTGCATTTGTGGATCATATTCTTTGAAGCTTGGATTTTTCATGGTATTTGGGACATTTTCATCTAAATTCCCAAGTGTTTGTAATTAAAGTTTTGATTTTTTCTTTTGTTTTGTTTTTCGACCGATTTGATCTGTAGTGTACAAAGAGTTCTTTGTTTGTTATGAAATTAAATTTGGAGTTTGAGTCCATTTTTCGGCATCAAGTATAAATGTTAATATGTGCACGCATAGGATAATTGTTTTTATTATGTTAACAAGTATCGTATAACCCGTGTAATAGAGGATACCAGCTTAAAATATACAACAAACTTCTTATGTATTAATGTATGTTTATAAATGAAAACCAATAAATGAAAAACAAAATAATATTTGGATCGTAAACTACTAATATTTTAGTGAATGATCTATCTATCAACCACAAAAATTAGATTGCATTAAGACAATAACCATAATCATGAACAGTAGTTGGTATGTTAATTTGTTGCCATTTATCAATTTTCATCTGCAATATCCTATATAACTAATGTTTAAACCATGTCATGATTTTTTTTTTTGAAATTCATGTTGTTAAGATTTATTAGTTAATGGAAATTGGTTTTCTGTTCCTATTATAAATTGTAAAAATATGTTAAAATCAAAACATGTATTTTTTGAACGGTAAATAAGAAATAACTTAGATAAGATTTGTTCATCAATTTTTATCTTATAATTCTCCTTTAATATCAAATTTTAATCATTTAGTTTTTTTTTCCCTATCATCACCATGGTAATCTAGTGGTGATATGTAACAATTTAGTTGGAATATAATTGATATTGTTGTTAGGCAAGGTGTTCCAAAGATGCAAGAAAAGCAACATACTTGTGTTTACCTGTGGTTTATAGTATCAGAATTTCGGTTATTTCTAATACATCATTATACTTGAAGAAATTGATATGAAGGCTTGATCATGTAATAAAACATAAGTACATTGCTATTATGAGTTGCAGAATGCTAATATATGTATTAATAATTTAAATGGGTTGTTATAATGGGTAAATAACTATAAGTAAATTTGATATTATTGATAGACAACTAAAATAAATCACATACGTAAAAAAAAGGTAAAGTATGTTGTTATTTCCTTTGGTTTGTATTATATATAGATGACATCACTAAAATGGTAAAGTATAATGTAAAATCTGTTAGGTTTTATACAAACAATCCCATGTGTGCATGCAACCCTAGTTTGGATCTATGTTTTCACTATAAGATATACATCTTTATGGACACAAAATAAACCCTAGCATGCTTCTATAATTTTCGAAATTTACATAGAAGTGTAGAAAACATACCCTTTGTTGTTATATAGCAATAACAACTAGTTTCCTTGATCTCTTGAACTCTCTAGAACTCTTGAAAGCAAGCACCACAATTGTAGTGCCTCTAATGGCTCACAAACACCTTGAAGCAAGAAGGCAACTAAGAGAGAGAAGGGAATGATGCTAATTTCGGCCCTAGGGTTCCCTTGGAATCAAGTGGCCTTAAATTGAAGCATAGGGTATGTATTTATACTATAGGGTGCTAGGGTTTCAGTCAAAACCCTAATGGACAGCTTAGCCACCAAGCAGCCCAAGAAACCTTATGGAATGAGGCCTTGGACGAAAATATGATGATCCTTCATCATAATTTCGTTCCCCCTTAGTCCATTAGGTTTCCTAGCCCAAAACTCAACTATCACACAATTGACAGTTTATACCCCTTTATTTAATTTGTCTCTTTTAGTCACCAAATTAATTCCTAATTAATTTATGACTAATACTAATCAAATAAATATGATTTCTCCTTTAATATATTATTCTTATAATATATTAATAAATCATAATATCTCCTCTCTCATATCAAATTACCTTGTCAAGTTGCTTTGGTGAAGGCAACCCAAAAGGACCATGCACACTCGGGTCAAGTATATACCAAATATGGTTACTGACTTAGACATTAATCCAACAGTCTCCCACTTGGATAAGTCTAGTAACTATATCTCACGTATTACTTCCGTACCCGATAGCAATCGTAGCTTTCAATAGCCGCTGTCAACTCTGACCAATAACTTGTCCTTTAGATAAGGGATCGTATAATCCTCTGTTCTAGATATCATGCTAACAATACTTATTGTCTAGCATTTTATTTCTTGATCTCTGATTTGTTCGACATAGAACTCAGTTGAACACATCAACTTCATCTTGACCGGGCCCGGCACATAAGTCAAACCAAATCATCAAGTGGCCGAGATATCGCTTTTATCCTCATAGAATAAAAGGAACAGAAAAACGTCGACTAATATGCCTTTATCATTTACAGTTAAACCATACACAATAATGCGTTTTATAACATCAAGTTACTGATGCGTTTTCGCATTATCAATGTATAATCAACTAGCAAACAATAACCATATCTCTAGTTTAAAGATTATATGATATTATCATCTTGCGATCACTTGTGATGACATTCATGAAGTAATACCAGCAAGTGTGGGTCTGTTCCAATGCTCAATACTAATTTCATAAGCACTCATAAACTTTGCAGCAAACCTTTGCTATGTCTAAAACTTTTCAGACAATCTACAAACAAATTTATGACAATCTTTCTTCATATCTACTTCCAACATATGAGCGATTGTGGACTGTTCGAATAATCTCATTATTCAGGAAGTCAAAACATGCAAAAATCGGAAAAATAGATAAATAATCAACACATGATAGAAACTTTCTTATAAATAACACACTTTTATTTAATCATCAATTGTTGAGTATGACATTATCTATTACAAGTTTCCTACCTATCTAATCTAAACTAATATCGTCCTTCAGCCCTACGCTCCTAGCGTGCTGAAAATGCTTGACCCTACTCAGTCCCTTCGTAAGGGGATCTGCTGGGTTATCTTCTGACGATACCCTCTTCACAACGAGGAGTCCCTCTTCTACCCGATGTCTAATAAAATGGTATTTCCTGTCGATATGTCGAGATCTGCCATGATCCCTTGGTTCCTTGGTTAAGGCAACCGCTCCTTCATTATCACAGAAAATTTCCATGGGCTCCTTTATGGATGGCACAACTCCAAGGTCTCCAATGAAGTTCTTCAACCATATAGCCTCCTTTGACGCTTCGCTCGCCGCAATATACTCTGATTCGCACGTTGAATCAGCTACGGTCTCTTGTTTGGAACTTTTCCAAGTCACTGCTCCTCCATTTAGGGTAAAGACCCAGCCCGACTGCGATCGGAAGTTATCCCGATCCGTCTGAAAACTAGCATCACTGTACCCTCGTACCCTTAAGTCATCACTCCCACCGAGGACTAGAAACCATTCCTTGGTCCTCCGAAGGTACTTAAGAATATTCTTAACTGCAATCCAATGTGCTCTACCAGGATTCCCCTGATATCTGCTGACCATGCTTAAAGCGAAGGCCACATCAGGGCGAGTACAAGTCATAGCGTACATGATAGAGCCTACTGCGGAAGCGTAAGGTACTCGGCTCATATCAGCTATCTCTGTCTCTGTACTCGGGCTCTGAGTCTTACTCAGCTTGGTATTGCTTTGGATTGGCAACTCCCCTTTCTTGGAATTTTCCATACTAAAACGCTTTAGCACCTTTTCCAAGTATGTATCCTGACTGAGTCCTATCAGTCTCTTTTCCCTGTTTCTTACTATTCTTATTCCCAGAATATAAGCAGCTTCTCCGAGGTCCTTCATAGCGAAACATTTCCCAAGCCAGGACTTGACCTCCTGCAAGGTTGGGACATCGTTTCCTATGAGTAGTATGTCGTCGACATACAATACGAGAAAGCTTATTATACTCCCACTGGCTTTGACATACACACAAGATTCATCTTCGCTTCGCAGAAAGCCAAACTCTTTAACCTTCTCATCAAAACAAAGATTCCATCTGCGAGATGCTTGTTTCAATCCATAAATAGATCTCTCAAGCTTGCATACTCTATTCGGATGCTTCACATCGACAAAACCCTCTGGCTGATTCATGTAGACATCCTCAGCCAACTTTCCGTTAAGGAAAGCGGTCTTTACGTCCATTGCCATATTTCATAATCATGAAACGCAGCTATGGCAAGCATCACCCTAATAGACTTTATCTTCGCAACTGGTGAGAAGTCTCATCATAGTCAACTCCGGGAGTTTGAGTAAAGCCCTTCGCAACCAATCGCGCTTTATAAGTATGCACTTTCCCATCCATGTCCGTCTTCTTCTTGAAGATCCACTTGCACCCGACTGTCTTACGACCTGGTACATTATCAACCAAATTCCAAACTTGGTTGTCGTACATGGACTGAATCTCGCTGTCCATAGCCTCTTTCCATTTTGCAGACTCTGGGCCTGCCATGGCTTCCTTATAGTTGCTAGGTTCATCCAAATTTACTAGTGTACTATCACTAATAAACGTATCCCCTTCAGTAGTAATATGAAAACCATAAAACTGGGGTGGAACACTAGCCCTAGAGGAACGTCGAAGAGGTAAGGACACGTCAACAGGTTCAACAGGAGTTTCCTCCTCAAGTTGAGTGCCAGTGTCAGAGGTTCCTTCATCGCTTTGATCTTGAATTTCTTCAAGTTCAATTTGCCTCCCACTGTCTTCTTGGCCTATTAATTCCTTTTCTCGGAAAACTCCTCTTCTAGCAACGAAGACAACATTGTCACTTGGTCTATAGAAAAGGTAGCCAAAAGACTTCTGTGGATAGCCGATGAAATAACACTTCTCACTACGAGGTTCAAGTTTGTCATGAGTCTCTCGTCGTACGAAAGCCTCACAACCCCAAACCTTAATATGTGCCAACGAGGGAGCCTTCCCTGTCCACATCTCGTGAGGAGTCTTGGAAACCTTCTTAGTGGGAACTAAGTTAAGTATACGGGCGGCAGTCTCTAAGGCATACCCCCAGAAAGCTATTGGTAACGAAGTCCGACTCATCATAGAACGAACCATGTCCAACAAGGTCCGATTACGTCTCTCAGCCACACCGTTCAATTGTGGCGTTCTTGGAGGCGTCAATTGCGAAACGATTCCACATTCTTTTAGATAGTCGTGAAACTCAAGACTTAGGTACTCTCCTCCTCGGTCTGACCGAAGCATCTTGATTTTCCTGCCCAGCTGATTCTCCACTTCACTCTTAAACTCTTTGAACTTTTCAAAGGTTTCCGACTTTTTCT